AAGGTCACTGACCCCTGGATAACTTTCTCTCCTTCTATCTCTCATTCCTGAGTCAAACTCCCTGTCTCGTTCCCTCTGTCTATCTGGCTCCTCCTTTACGGGCCTTCTCATTTCATTTCTCCTCAGCTCCTCCCTGTTTCTTGCAATTTCTCTTTCACTCCGCATGTCCATGTCTCTGTATCTCCTCCTTTCCTTTTCATACAGTATGTCCTTTGGTCTTCCCATGTGACGCTCTCTTTCATAGTCTGTAAGTGGTGTCCTTCTGTCTCTCACTCTGTTTGGTTTTGTCATCTTTGGAAAAGTGTCCCCTTTTCTCCTCTCATTGTATCGATCTCCATACTCAGCCTGCTCTGACACTGATGAGCTTCCATTTGCACATCGATCTCCATTTCTCCGCCTCTCTCTTTCTCTCCAGTCAATCTCTCCATCTCTTCTTCGGGTTGCAAGAAATCTCTCCCTGTCCCTAATCCTATCACACGTGTCTGGCTCCATTTCTTTTTCTCTTGTTTTGTCCATCTTTCGGTGTTTACAAGTCTCTTCTTCACCCAGGTCACCTTTGTCAATTAGCTCAAGGACTCAGGTCACAGTTTGCACTTGATCGACAACCTGTCTAGTGCACCTTAAGAGGACTGTATCTGCACAGTGTCTTGGATGGCCCAATTAATTTGACTGGTTTCCATTGCAACATAGAGAACCTATAAGGAAAGTCAAAATTCAATCAATAAAGTCAATAAATCAATCAACCATATAAAATTCATATTCCAAAGAGGAAAACATTCAAACATATTCTTGGAAATCTTTAAAACTTTGGAGTATCTTGTTGAAACATGTCAGGTATATGCCTTGGCAGCTTAAACAGTTACTTAAACTTTTTTTTTTAAAAGTGTCAAGTTGAATGTCTAACATTAATTAAGTTGGCAGATGCTTATCTGAAGTGACTTAAATGGATTCAAAGTATGAATTTTATCAGATTTTTATTCCCAGACAGCTGAAGCCACGACCTTGGTGTTTCTTGCACTATACTCCACCAGATAAGTAACAGCAACGCAACAGATATACTTTTCTCATCAAACAAGTCACTTCAAATCAGTCTAATATATTGTTAGTATGCATAACACACATTGCCATTTATATTTTTTATTTATATACATCTCTTAACACTCCTGCAAATCAATTCAACTAATAAGAACTCATAAGATAAATTATATATACAGTTGATATACAGCCTGTCTGTCAGTTCAGCAAAATAAAAAGTTCAGTAATTTACAAAGAATGCAGTTCAAACAACCACTGCCCTATGCTATTCTTGTATCTTGTTCAGAGGCATTTCAAGTAATTCATGCCTATGAAGAGCCGAAGCACTATTTAAGAGAGGTTGAAGGAGCAAGTCTTCGACATAGCTGACTCATGTCAAGACGTAATGAATTATATGATCATGATGCACAACAAATTAACATGAACAGATTCATAAGAAAATGACTGTGGTGAATAGAATAAACAGATTAATATTCTCAGGCATGACAATGCAGTATTTGCCTGCGATGTGGACATGTTTGTTTACAAGAACTGTTTGGTTTACTAAAGTTACAACAAAAAGGAAAGAATGAAAAGTTTTGGGAATAATGCAGAGGACTCACCTGAGAAGTGTCTTGGGGGACGCTTCTCTGTCTCTCTCCAACTTTTCCTTTGCTTTCTTGACAAAGTGAAGCTAGCAGGAATTGCACAACTCACAGACATTCCACATATCAGTGTTTGCCCATTGAGAGAACCAAAGTTGAGTGTGATAAATGCTCTACTGAAAACTCTGATTTAATTATCCAGCCTGCCTCTGTCCTACTTAATGTGTTCACATAAGCAAAAATAGGTTTTAACAAAGTAAAAAGATTCTCAGAGTGTTCCTCCCTCTCTTTCTCTCTGTTTCTCTCTCTCTCTCTCGTCCCCTCCTCCCGCCCTTCTCAAATTCCCAAACAAGTTTGAACAGATTGACACTTATCTTCCTCCCCCCCTTCTGTTTCTGTTTTCCTTATACTTTCCCCCTCCAGCACTGTCTTAAAGAGGAGCCTAAGAAGTAACCTTCAAGCTCGCACGCAGCTTTTCTTCACTTCTCATAAACTCAATAGAGTCACAGTGATTGCGCTACAGCTTGTTCCAGTAATTCAGCCTTTCACTCACCTCACCCTCACTGGCACTGCATGCTTCTCTCTCACAGAAACAGGAAGTGCTCACATGTGTGCTGTGATTGGTGTGGTTGAAGATGCTGGGTGTGACTGTTCTCTAAGGTAAAGACCATAGACTGTATAAAAAGGTAAAGACATGAGAAAGAGTGACAGCAAAGGGGGAGGAGCGAACATTTATGAGTGTGTCCATACACAGTAATGTCGTCTGCAGCTTATGTAACACAAAAGTTCTCAGAAAAAGCTGTAAAAGACAGTGGAGCACATGACACATTTGCACATTAGGAAAGATAAACTGGAAAACACACTGAACAATGATGCACGTTTTTAAACTTTATAAATCTGCTCTTTTACACATTTTCTCTCTTTTTGTACAAAGCCTTTCCAAGTTTAGTTTTGTGTATTTTAGTATAAACTTTTAGTTTAAAATCAAAATATTTTTAAGTGATGAGTAAGCAATATTGGTTGTAGATTTTGAAATATGAAGCATTTTCTTTGTAATCCAAAATGCTTGAGTTTAATTGATAATTTTCTAAAGTGTCTGTTGATATAAATAGCCAAGTTTCCGGTCCTCATATTGAACCATCTGAACAAACTTAACTACAGAGTGTGCTGTTATCTGAACGCAAACAAGTATAACATAATAATCTAAACAAAACTGACACAATCAATGAAATCTCCTGGACAAAGGTTAGGAGAAATGATCAATCATCCACAAGCATGTTCTAATTGTATGACAGGCAAGAAAGGGCTAATTCAGGAAGACTGCAGTAAACTAATCAGGTATTTCAAATGTAATTACAAAGATAGAGGATTTCCTGAAATCCTAAAAGGAGAAAAGAAGTGCTAGCAGCATGGCCTTGGTTAGTTAGCTAACTAGTAGCTAAACCTCACCGCAAGAGAACATATATTAGGGTGACCATACGTGCCATTTTTCCAGGATGCGTCCTGGCCAGGATTTCTATATTGCCTAAAATATCTAGGTTTTGGCTTTGTTTGCGTGTGCAGACCGATCGGTGTATGACATCAAAATACCTCGAGAGCATTTTGAAAGCATAAGGAACCGTCTGTATGGTATTTTGATGTCATACACCGATCGGTCTGCACATGCAAACAAAGCCAAAACCTAGATATTTTAGGCAATATAGAAATCCTGGCCAGGACGCGTGTCCTGGGAAAATGGCACGTATGGTCACCCTAACATATATAAAATATATTGGCATATAATATAAAAACACATCTCACAAAAACTAGTGCACTTAAATTAGCCTATTTTGTTATTAATACAAAGCTGATGTAAGAACTGACTGAATTAACATTTTCGCTTCATGTGACTACCAGTATTTAAACACAGAACTTATGCTATATAAAGAATCTCACCAAACTCTGCTGGAGACTGAAAAACAGTTCAGTTATTTTCCAATAAATATGCACAAACTGGGGCCTAAACCCCTTGCAAACAGTTTGTTGTCTTGTCTTTTTCAACAGTTTGTCAGTGAAAATAGGTGCTTAGCCTGAACTGTTGATCATCAACTTTAGGATGTCAAACATAATTTTAGTCAAACAAAACTTTGAGTCAAATCTCTTGATCTCAAATATCTAGAAATGAACAATAATTTAAATAGACTAATGTTTAAAATAAAAAAAGTGGGAATTTTATGTTATAATTATCTATATATTACCAAACATATCTAATAGTTATCACCACAAAGACATTATTAGCTTTACATACATACAGTAATATGTATAAACAGTGTTGGGGAAAGTTACTTTTAAAAGTAATGCATTACAATATTGCGTTACTCCATAAAAAAAGTAACTAATTACGGTACGTAGTTACTTTTTATGGAAAGTAATGCGTTACGTTACTTTTGCGTTACTTTTTAAATCTGGACAGGGCTTGCTTGTTTGTTTTTAAAATAAAAAAGTTCTATTTTTGGCAAATATAAAAGCCTTTTCACACCAAAAGTGAAACGAATAAGCCTCAGGCTGAAGGAAATGTAAATTTACGTCCGTACGGTAGAATGCAGAAGAAGGAATTTCAACACACTTCAGCAATAAAAAAAGACACACAAATGTTGTCTAGAGTAATTTTTGCTTATTAGTATGGTTGAACTGGATCATCGAAGGTCAGAAGCAAAGACATTGGTTAATAGAATGGGATTAAATACATAAAGGATATTTGTGCTGTTTAACATTTAATTATTGCAGGTTCGCGTCATATTCTGAGTTGCATTATTTTTATTCATTTGGAGGAATACTGAATCTGTGTGTTTTTTTTTTGTGAGTGAGATGAATTAATGCATATTCATATTTATTTTAGATCTACAGTAACATCTTCTGATTTCTCTCAACATGGGGACAGGAGAGCCGTCAATCAATAAATTGGAAAAAAAAAAGTACCTTGCGTTACTTATTTGAAAAAGTAACTCAGATATTCTCTTGTAAATGAAAAGGTAATGCGTTACTTTACTAGTTACTTGAAAAAAGTAATCTGATTATGTAACTCGCGTTAGTTGTAATGCGTTACCCCCAACACTGTGTATAAAACTGTGGGAAAAAAATATTATTGCCTTGGTGGTTTTCAAATGATCTTTGGTCAGAAAGTAAGCTATGCACGTTCAGACAAAGGTAGCAGTGAAACAACTAATTAACGTTTGCCGTTTTGTCGTGCGGTTTACTTGCACGATAAACTCCACGTCGAACAGGACAGTTGACTTTGGCTTATCAGGAAAAACACGTCTTGTTTGAAGATGAACTAGATCTTTCTATACTCTTTGACTGTACTTGTTTGAGCAGCACTCAATATCCCATGTTCACGTGCAGCACTTCAGCTTCCGCCTTTTGCACAGTCACATGTGGCGCCCGTTTAGGTTCACTTCCGCGTTTGAACAGAAACCATTAAATCCTTTTGAATAATGCAAGCGTTTTAACGCGAATATAGTCAGAAGCTTGTTTATTCAATGTGTGTTTATCGATACCACCGGATATTTCGACGTAATGCCGTTAAGTATTGTTTAAAGACATAAGTGCGACAGTTTGGGAAAGAGAAGATCCCCAGGCTGGGTGGACACAACTAGACAGCTAATTAAGACCTTTACTTGTATTTATCTACAGTAAACACGGTCATAGGAATTCTGAAAGGTGCGTTTGTGATCCACTTTGTGCATTTCTTTCATTTCATGCATTTTAAAGATGACAGCTTATGCTAGCAGCATGTTTATCTGGTTTCCTAACTAAAGTTCTTCATTACCGTTTGCTTCATTGCTTACTTGAACTTGGATCCATGCAGTATAATTTTTGTGTTGTCTTTTTCAGTCATATAAAATAAACATCACACCGTTTTTGGCATTACAACCAGGCTTTTGTAGTTTTGGCATCAATTTGTAAACATGCACAATAATAGCATTTTCAGCGAGTTTGATAAAATTCTATTTTCAAATTAACAGCATCTGTCTTAAAAAAAAAAACATTATTATATTTGAAGAACCAGCGATGATCTTTCACATTTGGCGTTTCAGAGTGCACCTTTTTTTTTTCTTTGGTTAAAATCCTAAGCAATTTTGACCAAAAATATTTCACGTTTCAGGAAGTAATCGTTCAAAAGTTTGGGATCGGTAAGATTTTTTATGTTATTTAATGTAGTCTCTTATGCTCATCAAGGCTGTATTTATGTGATCAAAAATACAGAGTTTGTTAAATTTTCTTTCTAATATGCTGATTTATTACCAGTGTTGAAACTGGTGTGCTACTTAATATTTTTTGGAACCTGTGATACTTTTTTCTTTGATTATTTGATAAATAAAAAGTTAAAAAAGAACAGCATGTATTCAAAATAAAAATGATAAGTAAATAAAAAGTATAGATTTTATACAAAAAAAGAAAGAAAATGTACCGACCCCAAACTTTTCAACAGTACTGTATATTGTAGCAATTTATATTTTCAATAAACACTGATCTTTTGAACTTTTTGTTTATCGAGGAATCATGAAAAAAGTATTACAGGTCCCAAAAATATTAAGCAGCACAACTGTTTCCAACATTGATTATAAATCAGCATATTAGAATGATTCCTGAATGATCATGTGACACTGAAGACTGGAGTAATGATGCTGAAAATTTAGCTTTGTTTCACAGGAATAAATTATGTTTTAAAGTGTATTAAAACAGAAAACTCTTAGCCTATTTTAAATTGCAGTAATGTTTCACAAATTAAAATTTTTTTTCTGTATTTTTGATCAAATAGATACAGCCTTAGCATAAGAAACTTCTTTAAAAAAACATTAAAAATCGTACTGATGAAACTTTTAAATGGCAGTGTATACTACTAACTAATAGCAAAAATGCGAGTTATGAAATACCAAATGTTATTGGAATTAACCAGGAATTAGGACACAGCTTGTCTAAATTGTGTCCTAGGGTTCTTCACTAATCATAAAATACTCTGTGCATACTGAGTCTGTATAATGAAATGTGTATTATATGCATATATTGTGTCAGGCTACTGTTACACTGCCCACATTTTGTGTGCATGCGTAAGTCAATCATTGGATAAATTCACTGATCAGTTTTTTTTTTAATGTGTTGCCCTTTTCCCATCAGGTGTCACCTGTGAAAGTCATGATGCTGTCTCTGAGAATAATCACTCCTCTTTTCGTACTTCTTGCTGGAGTGCAAGCTGAGTTCCTCACAAAAAACTGCAAGCTGATTTCAGGGAGCGATTCTGAGCAAAATGCGCTCAATTTACTGGAGCCTCTCACCAATCAAAAGTAAGACAGGTTTGTTTCAAGTGAATCTAGCATTCGTCCGGTTTGCAGGTTGTGCTGGTCTTGTTAACTGTCTTCATATTCACTCTGAACAGCTTCACCGCAGAAAGACCGGGGGAGGGATATTTGTATATTTTTCAGGTGTGTGGAGATGCTGGCGGAATGAAGGATGCAGGTCTTGTGCAGCAAGAAAAAAAAGATGGAAAGCTGGTTCGAATTGGGAACTACAACCAAACACGAGCTATTAGAGGAAGTATGTAACCTTGCTTGCTTCTTTTTGCTACAGGTGGACTTTTCTGAATTTATCTTTCGGTCTTTGGTATCTCTTTGAATATTATAACAGTTGTTATCAATGTTAATTTATAATAACGACTACTGAATTTTTCTTTTCATTGTCTGCTGATTCTTCTGTGGATTGTGGCTTTTGTTTAGTTTAGTTATATAGTAGCAGTTAGCAGGGATGCATTGCAAGAGAACATTGTAAATACAACCCACATAAAAATAAAACACATCAGTTTTGACTAAATTACAGAACTTTTTCTAGGTGTCACTGGAAGCCTTGTTAACTCGGTTTTTTTTTTACCTTAGTTCTCCTTTTGTTCTTGGTGCAGGTGACTGGGTTCTGCTCTTCTATGAGGGGGGAGATAAATATGACAGCCACTGTTCACAAGAGCCAAGAAGAGCCATGATTATGATTTCATGCAGTACGAGTGCTAAGGTATGAACTTTTTAATGCTTTTGAAATGACAATTGACATTTTTTACTCTCTACCCCTATAATGATTAAACAAAAATGCATTTATTTATTTTTCATGTACATTTTAATATATTATTAGATCTGGATAAGAAAGAATTAAGCGTTATATCATTGATCCTCATAACCAGTGTTGGAGGTAATGCATTACAAGTAATGTGAGTTACGTAATCAGATTACTTTTTTCAAGTGACTAGTAAAGTAACACATTGCTTTTTAATTTACAAGAAAATATCTGAGTTGCTTTTTCAAATACATAAAGCCCAGTTACTTTGTTTTCCCATTTATTGACTGACAGCTCTGTGTGCTGTGTAAAAATGATATTTACAGCACTATAGGTCTAGACTAAATGTGAACATGCATTTACTCATCTCACTTGCACAAAAACAGATCCAATATTTCTCAAAATTAATAAAAACAGGCTTATTCATTTCAATTTTGGTGTAACAGGTTTTTTACAAATTACTTTCCATAAAAAGTAACTTATTATACAATTAGTTACTTTTTTGGGGAGTAACGCAATATTGTAATGTATTACTTTTAAAAGTAATTTTCCCCAACATTGCAAATATTTGTTGTATTTCTGTCAACATCTGATCCACATGTATATGATATATAGTTGCTAAAAATAATGCAAAATTAGATACCATATAAACAGAGTTAGTAGCATTAGTGCGTTATCGTGTTGGAACTAAATAATTATCTCAGGTATGCAAGATAGATTTTACCCTGACAATAACCAAAACGATCTTATAATTTCAACTGCAATTATTTCTTGGCTCTTATGAATTTTTGTGTGTGTGTGTGTGTGTGTGTGTGTGTGTGTTTTCTTAGAATGCATTTTCAGTGGTTTTGGAGGACAATCAGAAGGAGCAGGACTGTTATTACCTGTTTGAGCTGGACTCCAATGCAGTCTGTCCTGTAATCCCATCCAAACTCAGTGCCGGCTCCATAATCCTTATTATGTGAGTGCTTCAAAATTCTCACTGGGATCGACACACCATTAGAGACAGTTAAGGAGCAACATTAATGTCATACTTTACATGTAATCATGTTCCTGTTTGCTCTCCATAGTGTGTTCTGCTGCCTGGCTGTGTATCTTACTGGTGGATTCCTCTATCAGCGACTGGTAGTTGGAGCCAAGGGAGTTGAACAGTTCCCTAACTATGCCTTTTGGTCAGAGATTGGCAACTTATCTGCTGTAAGTATAATAATTGCATATACATTTGTCTCAGTTTATCTTGTTTTGGTCCATTTTTTTTTTCTTTATGAACCAAATAAATATTTTTTTTATCCTAACAGGACGGATGCAATTTTGTCTGTCGTTCCCGTGGCAACAGAGAAGAAGCGCCCACATATAGAGGCGTGGGTACTGAACCTCTTGGGGAAGAGCAAGAGGAAAGGGATGACCATTTACTTCCCATGTGACCAAATCACATCAACCAATGAGAAGAGGCTGGACAGTTATTACGGTTTTGGAACCCAAAGAGAGATGTTCAGTTCAGAAGGCGTGTTTCTAGTTCAGAAGTGCTGCTGTTTTTTGTTTTTTTTACTACCCAATAGCACTTAATCTCTATCCCTTAAAATGTTGATTTGGTGTTTGTTAAATGTTAAAGTTTGCTAACTAGTTTTCAAAAATCCAAAACCCACAAATATATTTGATCATTTGATACTTATGACAAGATATCATCGACATGCAACACTGCCCGTGTTTTCTCTATAGGAAGTAAAAGACATCAACGCTGCTCGACTGATTTACTTGTAGTTTGGTACAAGTGCTTAATTTGTTTAGAATGGTTAAATCAACTTTTACTTGGAGTATGAACCCATGTTTGATGAAACTTAAATTAATTTTTAAGCTTATGCTCCACCAACTCAATCAATTAAATGTTTAAAAAGTTTTTCTTATTTCCAGATTTTCAAAAAAAATTCACTAATATCGATTATTTGAAAAATTGGACTCATTCCCAATTCCAAATTAGCTATTTGTTGTGAAATATTGTGTTAGTATAAAGAAGTTACAAGGATCTGATGAGGCCTACCTCTTCAGCCTGTTACAGCCTGTATGTGATGTTTCTGAATGATGTTATTAATGCTATCATAAAGGTTATTAATACATTTGAAGAAAAGTATGCCTTCTAGAAGATAAAAAGGTTTTCTGTGAGAGACCCATTTGTGGCACATTATTGTTGATAACAATTAACAGTTGAAGTGAAACAACATGAAAGGGAATGTGTTTCCGTTTGGTTGGTTTTCTTTTCACTTTGGCTGCTCGATATTGCAAATGTTTATGATACTTAGACTGTGATCTATTTCATACAGTATAAATAACTGTAAATCCTCACTGGAAACCACGGCAAAATTCCAGACTATGTTTTCCTTTCACCACTTTTGTTTAAGTACTGTTTGTTTGAATGCATTGAAGCTTTTTTGTTTTTTAGTGGAGTCATATATTTCCCCTAAACATAACCATGTTCTTGAGGAGCCAAGATCGTGAATGAGCTTAAACACTCCTGTTTTTGAGGTATATAGATCATAGCCTTACAACTATTTGCAGAATCAGGAGGAAGAGAGCTGATGGTTATCAACCCAAGCCATACAAGGTGCTGTGAAGTTTTGGTCTGTGTATAAAAGCTAGAGGCTCCTTGAAAAGCACTTCTAATCATCAGATCGAAAATGCTGGTTTAGCTTCTGCTTTAACAACTAGAGTCCAAATTAATAGCAGAAAGATATATGATGCATTGATTTGGCTTGGTTCTGATGTACTGTACTTCAGGCCTGTGCAAAGAGGGGACTTCACTGTCCTTGCTACTGCTTTATTCTTTACCATTTTAGTGTGAAAATATAAATTTTGTTTGCTTTGGAATTGTTGAGGAGAAAGTGTGAATAAAGTGTTTGATTACTGGTGGGTGTACGCACTTGAGTAGTTCTTTACAGTTTACATTTTCTGCTGTAGAGAAAACTGGTGGCTTGCATTAAAGCTTTAGAACCTTGAACTGTTCTTTGAGCATTTACAACTCTTTGACTATAAAACACATCTCCACACAAGCTTAATTACACATTCTTAATCATTTCTTCACAGCCTCTGTTATCAGCATAAAGTTGCAGGTTATACATTTTATATTAGTGGTGTATGCCATGTTGGGTAAAGAGTATTATACACATTACACATACAATCTCTGTTAATTATTTATCAGTGGCTGTTTCGTGCCTGTGCTGCTGTCTGTTTCTGTTAGAGCCCAAATACAAAACCATACATGCTTACAATCTACAATGGAATATTGTTCTGTTTATAGCAATTATTGATTAAATCTAAATAATTAACTATTAGTTATTAAGTTTGACCTATTTGGGGGTGGCTACATCACATTTAATCTTGTAGTGTTTCAATGACTGTGTTTCTTTATATGCAATTTAGGTCAAATCTAAACTACATGTGTTTTGTCAAATGTTTAAATTACTAGATAGCTAAGACATGAAATTCCTCTTTTTGGAGGTTTTTGGTTTTGTTTTTTTCCCATTCAGTTCCTTGCTACTGATGACTAAATCTGACTAGTTGAATGTTTTGTTATTGTGACATTTATTGTACCCTGCTTAGTTGTGCGGGTATGTTGTAAAAAGATGGCTAATACTGTCATCTTATAAGAACCTATAAACTTCCATTCCATTCGTTCTTTCAGTTTTATGGGAACAGTCATTTAGGAACATAAAGGTGACTCTACATTATATCCCGGTGGACAGAGATAAAGTCATGTGCTCTTCTTTATGTCAGTTCTAATTATATTAATATTGAGATGTAGTTAGTTATACAACTGTAACTGCAACAAAATGTAAAATTTAACTGGATAAAAATTATAATTCTACACTGTAAAAAAATTAATAAAAATAATAAAAACTACATAAAAATAAAATAAAATAATAACAATATATCTACTCAGAATCTTGCCAGCAGATTATAAGAAATATTAATTAAATTCAGCAATTAAGAATTGAGTTAGAATTAATCAAATGAGCTGCTTAAAGGTCATGCATTTAAAACGAGTAAGTGCAAATAGCAAAACATCAACTAAAATATGGACAAAATGTGGTGTTCACTGGATAAAAAAAACAAGATGCTAATAAATACTACTTCATGACATTATTTTGATATGACAAAGATAAAGTTAATCTTATTAACAACATTGAGTGGATTCATTAAAATAATGTAACTTAATGAATTAAATCTGATTTCAGGTACTATAAGACATTCCAAAAGAACTCTTGATTTATTATTGCCATCATAGATATTTGGCTCTGAATTTCACTTGGTCAAATGGTGAAAGTTCCAGTGCTGCTGATACAGGTTCTATATCAGCACTCTTGTGAATATACCTCTTGTCCAAACAGATTTGAGGACCAGAGCTAACTGTTGAAGGCTACTGTATATTGGTTAACTTAAACTCAGAGTATCTTCCGGGTTTGGGTGCAGTGATTGGAATACAGCATTATATTGTAGATAGATTTGGAAGTTAGATTACATAGAGTCTTTTTTGCACTAAACAATATTCACCTCTAAATTATGCACCATTTATTGCTACATATAATGATACAAACATTAGAAGAAAAATACTATTTTCAGTTAATGCAGTATATGTAAATAAAAAAGAGGCAGCCTCTGGTAGGTCTACTACACCCAAGCTGTTACGTTAAGCGAGTCTGGGAAATATGGAAACTTGAAATAAAATGTGAACAGAAATGAGACTTGTGCTGATATTTAATGGTAATTTTAAATCATGAAATCACTAAATGAACTGTATTTCTAACAATGATGTCTGTGTGGTGTTACACAAGTTTCAAATTTCAAATAAGTGGATGAAACAGACATCCCACGCAGCGCCAGGTGGAGCCTGGGGAGAAGGAATCGGATGGAGCATCGAATAATTATTTAAGTATGAATATTTGTGTATATACGTGTGTAAGAACTGGAAAAGCAAAAACAAGGAAGAAATTGATAATAAATAAACCATGACTGCATAACAGCAAAAGTAGGTGGCGATATGCACGGATGTAGCACGCCAAAAAATGGAAGAAGAAGAAGAAACAGACATCCGCCCCTGCGATAGGCTGCTCCTCACGTCAATCATCTACATGCACAATGCTATTGGCAGGCCAGCTCCATCATCACCCGCGGAAGTTTTTACAGAGAGATTCTGAGCGCTGTCAGTTTTTTTTTTTTAAATACATTTTTTCGGCACAAATTTTGTCGTTTCGCGTGTTGCCTCGAGAACGAAAGACAAAGAGTAAATTAATTTTAAAGGATGAATTTTGCATCGTGAACAACAAAGCTCGCACGAAGTGCTAGAACGTAACAGCTAATAGAATTGTGTAGCATGTTGTTAATTTACATTTTTTTTTATCGCTCGCCAACTTCATAAACAGCCTAGGAAAGGATCACAAAACGATTTGAGCTGCAAGTTAGCAGCTGGCTTGCTTTTATTATAAGGTTAGTGTCAGCAGTGTTATATATTGATAGTTGTATTTTTTGTTTTGATTAGCATGCTAAGCTAGTTTGCAACGCGAGCTGGCATTCATCATTCTGGATTTACATCAAATCAACATCGCCCTTCATACATCATAATTATAGTGTCATTTTCTGTCATCTTCACACGGCAAGGACTGTTCCAAAACAGGTAAAGCGAACCATGTAGCCTTTATAACTTGTTGACACTAGCAGGACACTGTGGAGGCATGTGGATCACTTGAGCCTCCTCACCTGTGCGTGTGTAACTTATATGATCATGGTGAATGTTTTGACATAATGAACATAGACGAAGGTCACTTTCACCCCAAATTAAAAAGAAAAACCTAATAAATTAAATTTGATAAATTATAAGTTCTATACAAAAAAGGCATAGTTAAAAATTGAGATCTTTCTGCAGTGACATTGACAGTTGCATGGTAATATTAAAATAGTATAGTAAAATGTTTTGAAGTCAGAATGAAGTCAACACACCAAATACGACATATCTGAATACTTCATAGAAATGAATAAATAATGTCATTGTTTTCTTTTTACATTACTGTCTGTGCGTGTATATAAATATATAAGACTGCAATTATCATGATTATATTATAGTTAGGGATGGGTATCGTTAAGGTTTTAACGGTATTACTACTCTTACCGATACTGCTTATCGATTCGGTACTTTAACGGTATTATCGGTACTTTTTGTTTTATATATTTGTTGCTAAACACTTTTGTTTTTTTGATAAAAAAGAAAACCAAAATTAGTTTTATATAAACTGTTTTTTGCAATGGATGTTTTGTAACTGTCTTTACTTATCTTTCCTTTTTTAAACTCAGAGGTTCATCATGCTGGGAGATTGTGGCATGAAAGAATGGGAGAGACTAGCGCTCAGGAAGAACTCTGTCACAATTCTGCAGGACTTAGTGGTGGATGATCTGCTGATCCAGTGTCTGCAACAAGATGGAATCCTTACAGAAAACATGGCTGAAACCATTATGGTACGTGTAAAGTATTAAGGCTGATTTATACTTCTGCATCGAAGCTACGCCGTAGGTTGTGCATAGTACGCGCAGGCTACGCTGTAGCCTGACGTGCATCTCTCCAAAAATGTCACAGCACGTCAAATCTACACGGACCGCAAGCGCTGTGATTGGTCTGGTAGTACCCCTCCCGCCGTATGTATTTGAGTTTCGTGTGTGTGTTTTGCACTTTAATATATTTTAAAGGAGACATATTATGCCCCTTTTTACAATATGTAATATAAGTCTCTGGTGTCCCCAGAAT